TCAGCGTGTTTTGTTGGACGCCGGTAAGCAGGACCCGGGTGAAGAGGACATTCTCTGAGGTGCTGGGAGAAGGAGGACTCGTGCGGGCACCTCCAGAGACGGCGGGAACGGGAGCGTGCTGCGGAGAAGGAAAATTCCAGGGGGTGGGTGCCGAGAAATTTGTCCTTCCCTCGCCCTGTGCTCTGCACTTAGCAATGGGTCAAGTGCAGAAGTTTCCTGGGGACCCTGGAAAAGGATGCCGGGTCTGCTAAGAAAAGTGGGGCCAAAGGAGCAGGACCTGGGTCTGCGAGCGTGGGAGAAACAAGGGATGGGTCATCCTCTGCCTCCGGGAGGGAGGGCAGCAGGAAAGGCCACGGACTAAAGCACTGAAGTGCCCTTCCCCAGGGAGCCCCTGCCCAGCACTGGACTTGCTTCTGCACTTGCTGTCCCTTTCCCAGCGGAGCCGAAGCGTCGGGTGCGGGTGCCGGGGGGATGGAGCTGCCAAGGGCAAACTGGGAGGGTGTATGCGAGGGAAGGGGGTAGAAGGAGCTCTTGACGTGCTTTTTTTCCTTCTTCATCCCACAGAATTGCCACGGGAGGAAATACTTCAGAGGGGCTTCCCTCCGGATAAGCCCTGAATGTGCCAGGAGGTTTCAGCCGGGAGGAAAGGAGCTGTGGAAGAAAAGCAGCCTAAAAATAGCCAGCGGGGATCATCAGGTTTTCCAGCCAAGAAGCACAAGGAGAGAGATGAGGGAATGGGGTTCCAATTCCTAATGATTTGGTGGGTGCAGGAATGATTTGTGTGTGTTTTCCAGTGCCTTTTGATTCCTGAGATGGTTTTAAAATGATGGCTTTAGCAATCGACTAAATCGGAGATGTTGTTTCTGGGAGGAAATGGTGCCAAATAAATGCAGAGTTTTGGGTCAGGTTTTGGGATGATTTGGGTCAGGTTTTGGGGTCAGTGTGGGGTCACTGTTTGGGGTGATTGGGGTCAGTTTTGGGTCAGGTTTTGGGATGATTTGGGTCAGGTTTTGGGGTCAGTTTTGGGTCAGCTTTTGGGGTGATTTGGGTCGGTTTTGGGTCAATTTTTGGGGAGCACTGGGTGTTCCTGGGGGTTGTTGGGGGGCACTGGGTGTTTACTGGGGAGCACTGGGTGTTGCTGGGGGTTGTTGAGGAGCACTGGGTGTTACTGGGGTGCACTGGGGAGCACTGGGTGTTGCTGGGGGTTGTTAGGGAGCACTGGGTGTTACTGGGGAGCACTGGGAGAGAAAATGAAAAATAAAGAGAATAAAAAATAAACGAAATAAAAAAGGAAATATAAAAAACAAAATAAAATTAAAAAAAAAGGCAAAAAACCTAAAAAGGAAATAAAATGAAAATGAAATAAAAGAGAAAAAAAAAACAAAAAAAGAAACCCCTTCTTGGGCACCCCGTTTCCTCTCCTCCCGGCCCCCGACCCGTAAATTGCGGGGTCATCACCCCTAAAATGTGAGACGGGGACCCCAAAATGCGGGTGGGGGAACCCCAGGGAGACGAAAAAGCGGAGGGGGAGCCGCAGTAAGAAAGCGAAGCCGGGCGGTCGGGCGGCGGGGTGGGGGGGGGCAGGCAAGGTGGCGACGGCGGCGCGTGCGCAGTCGCTGGCAAGACGCCGGCGATCACGTGGTAAGTAAGGGCAGCCAGGAGCGGGACCGGCGACGCATGCGCAGTGGCTCTCGTGGCGGTGCAGCGCTCCCTGCTCGAGTTAAGGGCCGGTTCCGGCGGCAGGGCGGGACTCGCGGTGTCCCGTCTCTCCCGGGGTGTGTGTGGGGGGAATAACACGAAGATTTTTTGGGGCGAAAGCGCAGAAATTAGCGAGGAGGGACGCTAATTTGGGTAAACTCGGTCACCGGAAGTAGAGAGCGACCGGAAGTCCTCCAAGGCCCCGGCCCGGAAGTCAGCCAAGCCCACAGTAAAGATGGCGCCGCCAGGACCGGAACGACCACACTAAAGATGGCGGGCCCGGCCCGGAAGTCCGCCAAGCCCACAGTAAAGATGGCGCCGCCAGGACCGGAACGACCACACTAAAGATGGCGGCCCCGGCCCGGAAGTTCGCCCCGACGCCACACTCAAGATGGCGCCGCCACGACCGGAACTTAGCCGAGGCCACACTAAAGATGGCGCCGCGGCCCCCGCTCGCCCCGTTCCGCTCCGCTCCCGCCCCCGCTCCCGCTCCCGCTCCCGCTCCCGCCGTGCTCTGGAGATGCTATCGGGGCTGCGCCGCCGCCTTCCCCCCCCCCCCGGAAGCGACCCACGGCGGCAGATCCGACGGAGATCGTTCCCGGGGTAAGCTGGGCGCGGCCGCTCTTCTGCCTCTCCCGCGGCCATCGGGGACTGCAGGCCGGGGAAGCGACAGGCAAGTTTCTCGCCTCTGCGGAGAAACTCGCACCTGCGTGCCGCCGCAGGGCCGGGTTCGGATGTGCCCTGGCATTGCACACGCACCACCCCCCCCCGCGGGGAGGGTCTGCGCTGCCTCGGGGACCCTGTCTGTGCTGCCGGGAGAGAGAAATCCTTTGGGAAGCTGGGCTGGAAACAGCAACTCTGTGAACTGCTCAGCTTTTCATAGGCAAGGGCAGGTTTTAGGGAAGAAAGGCCCGGACGCGCGAAAGGCGCCGCGGGTCTCGCCAAGGGGGGGGGGGGCGCGCGGCTGCAGCGCCGCGCGCGACTGCAGTGCCGCTCCCGGCCGTGTCCGCCAGGCGGCGACTGTGAGGCAGGGCCCGGCGCTCGGGGGCGCTCTCGCAAGCGACGCTTGCCCTGGGAAAGCGGCGGGCTTTGGCCACTGCCGGCCTTCCCCCGCAGTGCCCGGGCTGGCCCAGCGCCTGGCAAAACCTCGTAGGGAAAAGGCAAGCAACACCTGCGGTGGTTCTGCCCTTTCTTTAGCCAGGGACTGGAACACAGACAAAATCAAGGGGCTCTTTGACCTGTGCCATTTTTCAGCCTTCCTTAGCAGGGCATTCTCACCCTCTGAAAAGCTGAAAGGCTTTAACAGCTGGAGACGCGCCTGCAGCTGTGCAGATTAATGGAGTTTCTTTGAGGAAACGAAGGGGAGGTTTTCCTGTTGTGAGCCTAAATACCGAGTCTACTCTGCTTTTTCAATCAGGTGACGAAGCTTATGGAAAAAAGACCAAAGGCCTCGAGGTGAGCACATTCTACCGAGTTCTGCTTTTCTGGGATCGGTTTGGGAAAATCACGTGAAATTCTAAAAAGCTTCTCTCCGTGTTTTTCTAGTTGTTTTTTCAGCCTTGGTCTAAGTTTCATGTAGAAAAGGGCATAGAATTATTAGAACAGACCAACTAGACTTTCTCGGGAGAGATGGAAGAAAAGGCTGCTGATTGCAGTTCTGCTTTTCTTGTCTTCCCTTCGACCGTCATTTTCTCTCCCCTGCTGTTCAAATAGGCAGCAATTAATTGCTCCGCTGAAGAGTTTGCTGTACTAAGTGTCTGTCAAATTGATGCCTTCAACTCAAGATAGCACCTGCTCCTTAGTTACAAAAAGTTCCTCACAGGAAATTTTCAGGCGTGCCCATAAATCTCCTGGCTGTTTGTTTGGGAGAACAGGGTTTTCTCGTCTGTAACAGAATAGTCGTGGCATTTGCTATGGAATGCTGGTGGCAATCTAGTCAGAAGAGGACCCCGTGCTTCACTAATTTTGCCTTTTTGTTGTTCAGGGTGACTTCTTCCCAGGGATGTTCTTCTTGACCCCCCGGGGCAAATGGAGGTATTCACCTGGTCAGCGTCAGGAGCCATCCTAACTGAGGCCTCGGTGAGTGCTTTTTGTGTGACTGGACAGTGAAGCTGTGTGAATGACCTGGCTAGTGCTCGGTGTACTCCTAATTAAAGTGTCTTTTACTCCGTGTTCCCAGGCTCCCTCCTTCCCTTCGGTCGCCGTGGGTGTGCCGGACGCCTCTGGCAGGGCTAACCCTGTGGCTTTTCTGTCCAACGTGCTGTGCTGTGCTGTGTGTGCCTGCAGGTAAGAAAAGCGGGGAGTGCAGTCCCTCTGCTTTGCTCGCTGTGTCTCTTGGGGAGTGATTTTGGAGGGGAATCCCAGAGCGATTTGGTTTGAAGGGGACCTTCAAAGGCCAGCCTGCCTTCCGTGGGCAGGGACACCTTCCACTGTCCCCGGTTGCTGCGAGTCCCGTCCAGCCCGGCCTGGGACACTTGCAGGGATGGGGCAGGCTCAGCTTCCCTGGGCAGTGTGCTCTAATATCTCTCCACTGGCATCCTGAAAAATGTCGTCAGCGTGTTTTGTTCAACGATGGTAAGCAGGACCCGGGTGAAGAGGACATTCTGTTAGGTGCAGAGGGAAATAATTCTCCTTTGAAGCCAAATGGATTCAGATTTGCACGAGTCTTGTCTGCCTTATGTTTGAATTGCTTTCTATTCTAGGCAGTTGTTTTAAATTAAACTTTTATTTTGTGTCTCCCCCCCAGTAACCTGTCCAAGACAAAGCTACCTTTCCTCGTGGGAATGGACCGGCCGGGCTTTGGCAGTCTGGCCCCTCGAAAGCCTTAAGTGACCTCTTCCAACAGGGGAAGACTGAAGCAAGCGGTGCCAGAAAGAACTGGAGCTTCTGGAGAATAAAAGCTGGAAGCGTGCCCCCAAAAATCCCCCCGGGTGGTCAGTGGTCTGACTTGCACGGACCGGTGGCCTTGGCCAGGAGCGGTCCTGCGGGAAGCGCCTTTGCCCAGGCTGTAATTTTAATTTCCATTGGATGCCTGGCAAAGCCCCCCTGGGTGAGCCCCAGTGCCTGGCATGAGCGGAGCGGGCTTCCAGGGAGGTATTCACCTGGTCAGCGTCAGGAGCCATCCTAACTGAGGCCTCGGTGAGTGCTTTTTGTGTGACTGGACGGTGAAGCTGTCTGTGGGAATGACCCGGCTATTGCTCGGTGTGGTCCTAATTAAGGTGTCTTTTACTCCGTGTTCCCAGGCTCCCTCCTTCCCTTCGGTCGCCGTGGGTGTGCCGGACGCCTCTGGCAGGACTAACCCTGTGGCTTTTCTGTCCAACGTGCTGTGCTGTGTGTGCCTGCAGGTAAGAAAAGCGGGGAGTGCAGTCCCTCTGCTTTGCTTGCTGTGTCTCTTGGGTAGTGATTTTGGAGGGAAATCCCAGAGCGATTTGGTTTGAAGGGGACCTTCAAAGGCCAGCCTGCCTTCCGTGGGCAGGGACACCTTCCGCTCTCATCCCCGGCTGGATGCTCCCAGTCCCGTCCAGCCTGGCCTGGAACACTTGCAGGGATGGGGCAGGCGCAGCTTCCCTGTGCAGTGTGCTCTAATGTCTCTCCACTGGCATCCTGAAAAATGTTGTCAGCGTGTTTTGTTGGACGCCGGTAAGCAGGACCCGGGTGAAGAGGACATTCTCTGAGGTGCTGGGAGAAGGAGGCCTCGTGCGGGCACCTCCAGAGACAGCGGGAACGGGAGCGTGCTGCGGAGAAGGAAAATTCCAGGGGGTGGGTGCCGAGAAATTTGTCCTTCCCTCGCCCTGTGCTCTGCACTTAGCAATGGGTCAAGTGCAGAAGTTTCCTGGGGACCCTGAAAAAGGATGCCGGGTCTGCTAAGAAAAGTGGGGCCAAAGGAGCAGGACCTGGGTCTGCGAGCGTGGGAGAAACAAGGGCCGGGTCATCCTCTGCCTCCGGGAGGGAGGGCAGCAGGAAAGGCCACGGACTAAAGCACTGAAGTGCCGTTCCCCAGGGAGCCCCTGCCCAGCACTGAACTTGCTTCTGCACTTGCTGTCCCTTTCCCAGCGGAGCCGAAGCGTCGGGTGCGGGTGCCGGGGGGATGGAGCTGCCAAGGACAAACTGGGAGGGTGTATGCGAGGGAAGGGGGTAGAAGGAGCTCTTGACGTGCTTTTTTTACTTCTTCATCCCACAGAATTGCCACGAGAGGAAATACTTCAGAGGGGCTTCCCTCCAGGTAAGCCCTGAATATGCCAGGAGGTTTCAGCCGGGAGGAAAGGAGCTGTGGAAGAAAAGCAGCCTAAAAATAGCCAGCGGGGATCATCAGGTTTTCCAGCCAAGAAGCACAAGGAGAGAGATGAGGGAATCGGGTTCCAATTCCTAATGATTTGGTGGGTGCAGGAATGATTTGTGTGTGTTTTCCAGTCCCTTTTGATTCCTGAGATGATTTTAAAATGATGGCTTTAGCAATCAACTAAATCGGAGATGTTGTTTTTGAGAGGAAATGATGCCAAATAAATGCAGAGTTTTGGGTCAGTTTTGGGGATGATTTGGGTCAGTTTTTGGGGTCAGTTTGGGGTCACTGTTTGGGGTGATTTGGGTCAGTTTTGGGTCAGCTTTTGGGATGATTGGGGTCGGTTTTGGGTCAGCTTTTGGGATGATTGGGGTCAGGTTTTGGGGTCAGTTTTGGGTCAGCTTTTGGGGTGATTTGGGTCGGTTTTGGGTCAATTTTTGGGGAGCACTGGGTGTTGCTGGGGGTTGTTGGGGGGCACTGGGTGTTTACTGGGGAGCACTGGGTGTTGCTGGGGGTTGTTGAGGAGCACTGGGTGTTACTGGGGTGCACTGGGGAGCACTGGGTGTTGCTGGGGGTTGTTGGGGAGCACTGGGAGAGAAAATGAAAAATAAAGAGAATAAAAAATAAACGAAATAAAAAAGGAAATATAAAAAACAAAATAAAATTAAAAAAAAAGGCAAAAAACCTAAAAAGGAAATAAAATGAAAATGAAATAAAAGAGAAAAAAAAGAAACCCCTTCTTGGGCACCCCGTTTCCTCTCCTCCCGGCCCCCGACCCGTAAATTGCGGGGTCATCACCCCTAAAATGTGAGCCGGGGACCCCAAAATGCGGGTGGGGGAACCCCAGGGAGCCGAAAAAGCGGAGGGGGAGCCGCAGTAAGAAAGCGAAGCCGGGCGGTCGGGCGGCGGGGTGGGGGGGAAGCCAGGGTGGCGACGGCGGCGCGTGCGCAGTCGTTGGCAAGACGCCGGCGATCACGTGGTAAGTAAGGGCAGCCAGGAGCGGGACCGGCGACGCATGCGCAGTGGCTCTCGTGGCGTTGCAGCGCTCCCTGCTCGAGTTAAGGGCCGGTTCCGGCGGCAGGGCGGGACGCGCGGTCTCCCGTCTCTCCCGGGGTGTGTGTGGGGGGAATAACACGAAGACTTTTTGGGGCGAAAGCGCAGAAATTAGCGAGGAGGGACGCTAATTTGGGTAAAGTCGGTCACCGGAAGTAGAGAGCGACCGGAAGTCCTCCAAGGCCCCGGCCCGGAAGTCCGCCAAGCCCACAGTAAAGATGGCGCCGCCAGGACCGGAGCGACCACACTAAAGATGGCGGCCCCGGCCCGGAAGTCCGCCAAGACCACAGTAAAGATGGCGCCGCCAGGACCGGAACGACCACACTAAAGATGGCGGCCCCGGCCCGGAAGTTCGCCCCGACGCCACACTCAAGACGGCGCCGCCGCGACCGGAACTTAGCCGAGGCCACACTAAAGATGGCGCCGCGGCCCCCGCTCGCCCCGTTCCGCTCCGCTCCGCTCCGCTCCGCTCCGCTCCCGCCCCCGCTCCCGCTCCCGCTCCCGCTCCCGCTCCCGCTCCCGCCGTGCCCTGGAGATGCTATCGGGGCTGCGCCGCCGCCTTCCCCCCCCCCCCCGGAAGCGACCCACGGCGGCAGATCCGACGGAGATCGTCCCCGGGGTAAGCTGGGCGCGGCGGGTGGGCGCGGCCGCTCTTCTGCCTCTCCCGCGGCCATCGGGGACTGCAGGCCGGGGAAGCGACAGGCAAGTTTCCCGCCTCTGCGGAGAAACTCGCACCTGCGTGCCGCCGCAGGGCCGGGTTCGGATGTGCCCTGGCATTGCACACGCACCACACCCCCCCGCGGGGAGGGTCTGCGCTGCCTCGGGGACCCTGTCTGTGCTGCCGGGAGAGAGAAATCCTTTGGGAAGCTGGGCTGGAAACAGCAACTCTGTGAACTGCTCAGCTTTTCCTAGGCAAGGGCAGGTTTTAGGGAAGAAAGGCCCGGACGCGCGAAAGGCGCCGCGGGTCTCGCCAAGGGGGGGGGGGCGCGCCGCTGCAGCGCCGCGCGCGGCTGCAGTGCCGCTCCCGGCCGTGTCCGCCAGGCGGCGACTGTGAGGCAGGGCCCGGCGCTCGGGGGCGCTCTGGCAAGCGACGCTTGCCCTGGGAAAGCGGCGGGCTTTGGGCACTGCCGGCCTTCCCCCGCAGTGCCCGGGCTGGCCCAGCGCCTGGCAAAACCTCGTAGGGAAAAGGCAAGCAACACCTGCGGTGGATCTGCCCTTTCTTTAGCCAGGGACTGGAACACAGACAAAATCAAGGGGCTCTTTGACCTGGGCAGGCTCCCAGCATTTTTCAGCCTTCCTTAGCAGGGCATTCTCACCCTCTGAAAAGATGAAAGGCTTTAACAGAAAGCTGCTTTAACAGCTGGAGACGCGCCTGCAGCTGTGCAGATTAATGTCCTTTCTTTTAGGAAACGAAGGGGAGGTTTTCCTGTTGTGAGCCTAAATACCGAGTCTACTCTGCTTTTTCAATCAGGTGACGAAGCTTATGGAAAAAAAGACCAAAGGCCTCGAGGTGAGCACATTCTACCGAGTTCTGCTTTTCTGGGATCGGTTTGGGAAAATCACGTGAAATTCTAAAAAGCTTCTCTCCGTGTTTTCTAGTTGTTTTTTCAGCCTTGGTCTAAGTTTCATGTAGAAAAGGGCATAGAATTATTAGAACAGAGAAACACGACTTTCTCGGGAGAGATGGAAGAAAAGGCTGCTGATTGCAGTTCTGCTTTTCTTGTCTTCCCTTCGACCGTCATTTTCTCTCCCCTGCTGTTCAAATAGGCAGCAATTAATTGCTCTGCTGAAGAGTTTGCTGTACTAAGTGTCTGTCAAATTGATGCCTTCAACTCAAGATAGCACCTGCTCCTTAGTTACAAAAAGTTCCTCACAGGAAATTTTCAGGCGTGCCCATAAATCTCCTGGCTGTTTGTTTGGGAGAACAGGGTTTTCTCGTCTGTAACAGAATAGTCGTGGCATTTGCTATGGAATGCTGGTGGCAATCTAGTCAGAAGAGGACCCCGTGCTTCACTAATTTTGCCTTTTTGTTGTTCAGGGTGACTTCTTCCCAGGGATGTTCTTCTTGACCCCCCGGGGCAAACGGAGGTGTCAGCGTCAGGAGCCATCCTAACTGAGGCCCTGGTAGGTCAGTGCTTTTTGTGTGACTGGACGGTGAAGCTGTCTGTGGGAATGACCTGGCTATTGCTCAGTGTAGTCCTAATTAAGGTGTCTTTTACTCCGTGTTCCCAGGCTCCCTGTTTTCCTTCGGTCGCCGTGGGTGTGCCGGACGCCTCTGGCAGGACTAACCCTGTGGCTTTTATGCCCAACGTGCTGTGCTGTGTGCCTGCAGGTAAGAAAAGCTGGGAGTGCAGTCCCTCTGCTTTGATTGCTGTGTCTCTTTGGTAGTGATTTTGGAAGCGGCGCCCGCGCAGAGCGAGGCGTTGGCCGGGCCGGCGCCTGAAGCGCTCGGGGCCGCCGGGCAGGGCAGTGCCCGGCTGGTGGTTGCCTCGCAGAGAGAAGAGCCCGGCCCTGGGAAGGCAGGGGCCTGGGCTCAAGCTGCTCTGGACCGCTGTGGGGATGGGTTTGAAGTTTTGGGATCACTTGTTTCTGTCCCTACCTTCCCACTGAAAACAATAACTTAAGAAGTCCTCCTCTGGACTGGTCCAGAGAAATTGTGGAGTCTCCATCCCTGGAGATGCTTAAAACACTTTTGCTCAGGCAAAGTCATGAGCAACCTATTCTACCTAATCCCGCTTTTTGAGCAGGAGAGATTGGACTAGATGATCTCCAGAGGTATTGTCCAACCCCCACCATTCTGTCGTTCTGTAAAGGGGCTTTGCACTGCCCTTTGGAACTGGAATCTGTTGATGACCTGTGTTGAGGTCACACTGTAGCTTGTTACACTGCAGCTTGTCACACTGAATGGCAGCCTGAATAATTTAATATTGAACTGTGATTAATCACAAGATGAAAGCTAAGATAGACTGGTAAGAGGCAGTGTTCTTTGCTGCAGCATTTCCCACCTGAGGTAATTTTCCTTTTTCTGAAAGTGTCAAGTACAGTTGGGCAATGTACTACATAGGAAGAAGGGAAAGAATCTCAAAAACAAATAAATGAACAAAAAAACCCCTTTAGATTTGCTTGTGCAAGAAGAGGATTGTTCTTCCACTCAGCCAGGTTTTGAGAGGACAAATTAATTGTTTCTCTGACAAAACTATACATTGGAGGCTGTTAATGATCCCATAGTCTGTGCTAAAGGTTTTAGCTGATTGTGTTTGTCATCAGCTTTTACTAAAGAAAAAGCAAGCCTTCTTGGCTGTGTGGATATTACAGGAACGAAATGATTCCATTCATGTAGATAATGATAACAGAGCCAAAACAAAAATATTGCAAGTGTCCTATGTGGAACAATATACAGAATTTCAAAAGGGATTGTAGTGGTCCGATATACAGAACTAACATACTTCCTGTTCCTTATTTGCTGATCAGGTCATATTTATCTGCCTGTCAGGACTGTCGGAGCACTGGATGGAGAGCAGGTCATATGAAGAGGATTAGGGAGTAAAAGGCAGCTTGTACTGAAGTGCAGGGAAAGTATAAATATTGATATATATTGGCACAGTGCCTGGCCTTAATGCTTAAAATCCTTTGGAGAGCTGTCTGCATATTTACTGTATTAATGATCAAATGCAAGGCTGTGTTGGGAAAGGTCTTCCATTTGGAAGTCAGTAGTTGAGACTGTCTTGCCTATGAAAAAGAGGGAGAATTTTCGTTAGAGGATGTAGGATTCTGGCTGGTAATAGTCTTAATTCAAGGTATTTTTAGAGAATTGATTTAATACAAGCAGAACAAATGGCCAGAAGTGTAATGAGAGACAAGTTGAAATTAGAAAGTAGATGTGCATTTTGAATGTATTGTCATAGCAACTGATTAAATTCTCCCTCTCTTGCTGTTCTGGGGACCTTTTAAATGTGCTTTGGCTAAATAAAAAGTATTAGACTATTTCAGAGCCAAAAGGTCAGTTCTTGTTGTCTCTTTTGCACTTTAATTCTAGTACACTGATACTTGCTAACCACTTATAACCCTAGATGCAGAATGAGAACTTGGGTTATTAACAATAAAGAAGTAAACAGCAGAAAGACTTGACCTTTCTTTTGAATTGCCCTACAGTGTTAAAAAATACCAAACAAACCTCCTTCCCCAAAGAAACACCCCCAAAATACCCCAAGAACTCACCAAACAGAAAATCACCGACAACCAAAAAGCAGAAGTAACAAACATGAACAGCAAGTGGAGGAAGAGTTTGAAAGCGGGCTGGACAGAAGCAGAAGTGTTACTGCCCACTCTTAGGCCACTGTGCTGATTAAATGGGTGGTGTTAGGTTTAGATCAGTAGTTCGTTGTTGTTGGGTTTTTCGGTGGTGTTGATTTTTTTGTTGTCGTTGTGGGGGATTGTTTGTTTGTTTGTTTTATTTTGTTTTTTTTCTGTATTAAAAATCTGGCTCAGTTACTCTCTAGTTCTGGTGTGTTTTCTTTTCCAGGTGGTTGGTGTTTCTGCAGTGTTTGGCACAGGACTGGGGGAGATTTTTACCCAGCTTTCTAAAGCTGTAGATGAATAGGAGAGGTAAGGGGATAACTTTTGGTCCGTGACTCAGTGACCACTTCCTGAAGGTCCTGATTCATGAGTCTGCTCCTTTGATTTGAAGGAGTGTACAGTTGCCATAGCCAAGGTAGCTTAGGGTGTCCAGTATCAGCATAAAAAGCAGCAGTAAAAAGGAACTATTCAGAGATGAATTTTTGTGCTGTTCCATGAGAAAGTAAAAGCTATCTGTGCCAGCAAGTCTGTGAAGTAATTTTTTTCTTGTAATTCCATACCAAGTTTTGAATTGTTGCTGTTTTAATGAAGTATGTTCATTGATTTTGCATCCATTGGTTTCAGAATCCAAATCTGGGGAAAAAAGGACTGTCTTTCTGAAATGTCTCTCAAACATGAAAGCCTAGAGAAAACTTTTTTTTTGAGTAAAAAGGAGCCTCCAGGATGATCCTTATGCAATACAAATCATGTGTTTTTCAGACTGAATGCACTCCCTTTATTCACCTTTTCAGAGAGTATCGTCCAGAATACGAGCGCCTGAGAAAAACACTGGTAAGTGTTTTTAGCTGTTTTACACCTGAACAGTGTATCTTGGGTCACTTTTAGGCACACAATTGCCTTTATGTTGAGAGGGTCTAACATTTCATTTACTAGTCGTACTCACTGTGGGAAAACTCCTGTCCTGAAGGAGTCCACCATTTGCCTTTTTTTTCCTAGATGTGGTGGAGCATATCTTTACAAAAATAAAGATTTTGTAAAACAGATGTTGCTCACTGGTTTAGTGCTAATATTTGAGCTAATTGTGTGAAAATGATTGGGAAATAAGATTGTGTCTTCCATTCAGATGGATAGAGAGTTCTTAAAAATAAATTTCCAAAGGGATTTGTTGAGACTATCCCTGTATCTTCCTGCACCAGTGAAGAGTACTAGTTTGACTTAGTAAGAAAGACTGAATTGCAGTGCCAAAATCAGTAGCTCTGCTCACCTTGAGTTGTGGCTGTCCAAAGGACAGTTCTCTGCAGGCACAGCTACACAGAGTTTGGCTTCCCGGCGCTGCTGAAAACGTCCTAGAATCCCACCTGACTGGAGGTTGCTTTCCACGCTTAGTCAGAAGTTCTGTGAAACCTTAGTTGAAATGTAAGACCTGCATAGTGACTTCTGCTCTCTGACTGGGGGACAGGCTGCTGGGTTTGGGTGAGGTTTCTCTTCTCCTAATGTTTTAAATGTTCTCAGAATCCACAGGTAAATCTTTGTCTATGGGAGAAAGCTCAAAATAAACAAAAGAGAGAGCAGCTGGAACACTTGTGGAAGGACATGGGCAGCGTGTGTGTGCAGGGCAGCACAGTGGCAGGTACCTCCCCAGGAAGATAAAGTTTACTGCAGAAGTTTTCTGAAGAGTTTGCCTTGTGAAGTAGTACAGTGCTTCTTTGTCCTCACAGCAGAAGTGTGAAAGCAGCTCCATGTTAGAGGAGCGGGGCTTTAGTTCCTGTGGGGTTGGTCACACTCAGCTCTTCCTGTGTCAGTCACAGGTTTGGAAGAAACCCCGCTGTGTAGCTAAAGCAGTGGACCTACTAGAAATAATGAAATACTTTAGAAAAGGTGAAACAGTCAGATCAGAATATGAGAAAGCTCTGCTGTTGGCTGCACTGTTCCTTAGATGAGGCGAGTAGGTGCTGATGGAGTCTGTCCTGTGTCTGGGATCCACAAGCAGCTTTCTGTCCCCTTAGAGCAGGTGTTCATTGCTGGGTTTCTGTGCAGATAGAAACCTTACCTTTAGCAAGCTGGTTGGTGTACAGCTGTTTCTGTTCCCTTCAAGGACCTGATGCTTCTGCAATGGGTCCCTCTGAGCTAATACTAACACGAGGAACTCTCGATGAAGAGCAAGAAGAGAGGGAGAGTGACGCTGATGGCATTGACCATGAAGGTAAGGGAATGAGGTCTAAAAGCTGCCTCTCAAGAAATCCCCTCTATATTTCATGTCCTGGATGGACTGTAAGGAGAGCCTAGAAAACAAGCAAACATTCAGTCACCTGACGTGTCAGAATCTGTAGCAGAAGCTCAGCTGCAATGGTCAGTGCAGGGATATCACTCTGTAACCTTTGTGAAAGTTCAATTGTAAATTTTCTATTCAAGTAATTAATAGGTGTATAATACACATAGACCAGAGAACTCGTTAGGCTTGGGGCATGCAGTGACCTCTGAACCTGATTGATGCACAGATGTGTCCATCATCTTTTTGGCCTTACAGTTTCTGCCCCTGGCTCTCTTCCCTTTTCCTGTGACTGTGGTCTTGGAGCAATCTTCTAAGTTGTTACAGTGTGATTTTTCTCTTCTATAGCTCACAGACTTAATCTTCATTCTTTCCCTGTTCCACTGATGGGTAGGATCACTTATTTCCTTTGCCCTGTAATGTAGCTGAAGATGGAATAGACTTTCTATGTTGCTTTGGCTATCCTGATTCTAGCTTTTTTTCGGAAACACAAGTAGAACAAGTACTGAAATAGCGCTGAACTTCAGCAGCAGCGGGGACTGCGCAGGAGAAGGAGGGTGGGCAGCGGGCCTGGGGCAGGCAGGGGGATGGGGGTGGGGGCGGGCACTTAAAAGATTTCGGCCAGGGAGCTGATCTCAGCCAGCACCCAGTCGGGGCAGTCTGAGTCCCCGTAGAAGCAGAACTGCTGCGTGGGGAGAGGCGGTCAGAGGCGCACTGCCGCTCTGCGTCCTCCCCGCTCCCCGCCGCCGACTCCCGGCCCACCACGTCGCCGCTGCTCCCCGGTCCCCCATGCCGCACAGTCCGCCTTCGCGATCCGGAACCGCCCCGTGTGCCGGGGGGGGGCTCCCCGAGGGGCTCTGCAGGGGCCTTGGGGCCGGGACCCCGGGGGTGCAGCCCGACCAAGGGGCGGGGCAGGGGACGGGGTCCCGGGAGCGGGACCCGGGACGGCCACGGACCCGCGGGAAGGGCCCCTCCGACACGGCCCTCGTCCCTCCTCCTGACCACCCGAGCACCTCCCGCCACCCCGCGGGCTCCAAGCCCCGCCAATCCGGGCCCGAGGCAGCGTCTGGCCCGCCAATCCCGGCCCGCCTTTCTCGGCGCCGTCCAATCACAGCCCGCCTTTTCAATCCGGCAGCGGTCCCGCAAGCTCTGCCCGCTCAGCCGCGGCGCGGCCCCTCCGAGCGGCACCGTCCCCCCGTTCCCCTCAGGTGCTGCTGGGACCACGGAGAGCGGTGGGAGCTCCACGGTCACGCCCCGTCCGGGAGCTCTCCTAGGAGAAGGAGAGGGAGGCGGGGAGCGGGCGGGAGGGGCTCCGGGAGCGGGGCCTGCGGGACCAGCGGGGTTCTCGGGAACGGGCGGGCGGGGATTGGCTGGGCTGGCACGAGGGGGGCGGGGCTGTGCGGGCTATAAATAGCGGGCGGGTGGAGCGGGGGGGGCAGTTCGGCGGCGGAGGTGGAAGCGGCGCTGGAGCTGCGGGAGCCGGGGCGAGATCGGCGGTGAGCTGGGGCGGGACTCCCGCGGCTGCCGCTCCCGACGTGCAGGTCCGATCCCGGCCCGCCACCCCCAGCCCGCTTTTCTCCGCTCCGTCCAATCGTAGCCCGCCCTTTCAATGGGGCCGCGGTCCCGTAAGCTGTGCCCGCTCAGCCGCGGCGCGGCGCCGCCCCCCTTCCCCACGTCCCCCTCAGGCGCTGTAGGTGCCGGCGCCTTTGCTTCCGGAGCCGCGCCTGCGCTGCCGCAGCCCCCGACAGGCCCTGTTGGGACCAGGGAGGGCGGGTGGCACAGCTCCGCGCTCACGTCCCGTCTGGGAGTTCTTCCGGGAGGCGGGGAGGGGGCGGGAGCGGCGGCGGCCCTTTCAACGGGGCCGCGGTCGAGCAAGCTCTGCCCGCTCAGCCGCGGCGCGGAGCCGCCCCCCTCTCCACCTCGTCCCCCGCGTTCTCCTCAGGCGCCAGTCTCGGCGCCTTTGCTTCGGGATCCGGCGGAGCCGCGCCTGCGCTGCCGCGGTGCCCGCAGGCGCTGTTGAGAGGGCGGGTGGGAGGTCCGCGGACCCGTCCCGTCCCGGAGTTCTCCCGGGAAAAGGGGAGGGAGGCGGGGAGCGGGCGGAAGCGGAGCAGCCCCTGGGAGCGGGGCGTGAGGGGACAGCGGGGTTCTTGGGGACGGGCAGGGTGGGAACGGGCAGGCGGGGATTGGCGGGGCCGGACGCTGCCGGACGCTGGGATTGGCTGGGCTGGCACGAGGGGGGCGGGGCTGTGCGGGCCGCGGGCTATAAACGGCGTGGGCGGGGGGCCCTGGGGGCAGTTGGGCGGCGGGGCTGGGGGCGGCGCTGGAGCTGCGGGAGCCGGTCCGGGATCGGCGCGGCCGCTGAGCCAGGGTGGGACCCTCGCGGCTGCCGCTCCAGGGAGCGGTGGGGAGCCATGGGGCAGCACCCGCTCGGCTGCCGATCCAGGGGGAGCCGGGGTCGGTCCCCCACGGCTACCGAGGCAGGGCGTTGGGCAGGCGGTGTCCCGGGCAGCTGTGCCGCCCAGCTTTGGTCAGTGCTCAGTGGGGGAGCAGCCCATGCTCAGGGGTGCTGCCCCGAACCAGAAGGATGAGGATGCAACCTCTCAGTGGGGCTGGTATTGAAAGTATTGTTACAAAGCAAAGTAAAAAAAGATGTTTCATTCTATTATAATTTTATTTTGCTTTTATTTTCGTCTTTGACTACTTGATTGTTTATTCTATTGTTTTGTTGCTGTTCCCGTTGGGATGGGTGGGACAGCTCTTAGAGATATTTAAGTGAATGACAAAGACTGATTTGTGACCTTGTCAACAGCCCCGGGCTGCAGAGATACCAGGAGCAGATTTAGGCAGAGGCAGCAGAAAGCTGAGGCAGAGGCAACAGAAAGCTGAGAACCTGGAGCTGAGGCAGCAGAGCTGGTGGAGACATAAAGACGGTAGGACTGTGGGCAGAACAAGAGTGGGGCTGGATTAGGGAGCATGGACCTGGCATAAGTACTGCAGGGATGGAGCTGGGATAAAAATAGTCAGGCCTGGCCTGGAATGTGGGCTTGAGAGCTGGGGTGGAAAACTCAGACCTTTAACAAAAGGAAGATGCTAGGATTGGAACATGCAGCAGCTTTACCAGGAGCTGACAGCAGAGCTGGCAGAGAAATAAAGGTTGTGGGGCTGGGTATGGGATGGGGAGAGTGGTGCTCGGAAAGGGACTGTGGAGGAGGGATAGGGACTGTGGCACTGCAGCAGAAATCACTGTATGATTGAGACAGGGACTGGCACCGTCGCTGAAACATCTGTGTGTCTGTGGAATAGGGATTGATGGGCAGGAACATGGACTGGGGGGGAAGAGCTGAAATCAGTCTAGGGCAGGGATCTGGACTTTGGAGTTGGGATCGGGTTTGTGGGGCTGGAGGAGTACCTGGGGGACTGGGAATGGGAATGTGAAGTTGGAGCTGGAAAGTCGCAGAGCTGGAGCCAAGCTGAAGATCCTGCAGTGAGAACCTGGAGCAGCTTCCCATGGCGGCGCTGGCAAGATGCAATGCTACTGCTGAGAGAGCAGAGCTGGCAGTGCAATAAAGCTTGTGGGTCTCGAGCTGAAATCACTGAGGGGCTGGGGTAGGGACAGGGTTCTGGGCTTGGGACTGTAACACTTTGGGCAGTAATCAGAGCAATTACTGTGACATAGGGCCTGTGGCACCGTCGCTGCAATGGCTGTGTGTGTGATATAGGGATTGATGGGCGGGAACGTGGATTGGGTGGGAGAGCTGAAATCAGTCTAGGGCTGGGCTTGTGATTTTGGAATTGAGATCGGGTTTGTGGGGCAGGAGGAGCACCTGTGGGACTGGGATTGGGAGTGTGAGGGTGGAGCTGGAAAGTCGCAGAGCTGGAGCCAAGCTGAAGATCCTGCAGTGAGAACCTGGAGCAGCTTCCTGTGGCGGCGCTGGCAAGATGCAGAGCTACTGCTGAGAGAGCAGAGCTGGCAGTGCAATAAAGCTTGTGGGTCTCGAGCTGAAATCACTGAGGGGCTGGGGTAGGGACAGGGTTTGGGCTTGGGACTGTAACACTTGGGCAGGAATCCGTGTGGGGAGGAGACAGGGCCTGTGGCACCGTCGCTGAAATCCCTGTGTGTCTGTGGAATTGGGATTATAATTGGGAATGTGGACTGAGAGGCTGGGGCTGACATCAGCATAATGCTAGGATTTCATCTGTGGAGCTGGGAGAGTGTCTGGAGCTCAGATAGGGCCTGTGGCACCGTCGCTGAAATCCCGGAGTGGCTGTGGCATAGGGATTAATGGGCGGGAATGTGGATTGGGTGGGTAGAGCTGAAATCAGTATAGTGCTGGGCTTGTGATTCTGGAATTGGGATCGGGTTTGTGGGGCTGGAGGAGCACCTGGGGGACTGGGACTGGGAGTGTGAGGGTGGAGCTGAAAAGTCGCAGAGCTGGAGCCAAGCTGAAGATCCTGCAGTGAGAACCTGGAGCAGCTTCCCGTGGCGGCGCTGGCAAGATGCAGAGCTACTGCTGAGAGAGCAGAGCTGGCAGTGCAATAAAGCTTGTGGGTCTCGAGCTGAAATCACTGAGGGGCTGGGGTAGGGACAGGTTGTGGGCTTGGGACAGTAACACTTGGGCAGGAATCCGTGTGGGGAGGAGATAGGTCCTGTGGCACCGTCGCTGAAATCTCTATGCAGCTGGAAATGGGATTGTATATTGGGAATGTGGACTGGGCGGGAGAGCTGAAATCGGTATAGGGCTGGGCTTGTGATTTTGGAATTGGGATAGGAATTTTGGGGCTGGAGGAGCACCTGTGGGACTGGGATTGGGAGTGTGAGGGTGGAGCTGGAAAGTCGCAGAGCTGGAGCCAAGCTGAAGATCCTGCAGTGAGAACCTGGAGCAGCTTCCCGTGGCGGTGCTGGCAAGATGCAGAGCTACTGCTGAGAGAGCAGAGCTGGCAGTGCAATAAAGCTTGTGGGTCTCGAGCTGAAATCACTGAGGGGCTGGGGTAGGGACAGGTTTTGGGCTTGGGACTGTAACACTTGGGGTAGTAATCAGAGCAATCACTGTGACATAGGGCCTGTGGCACCGTGGCTAAAATCCCTGTGTGGTTGGAATTGGGATTGTAAATTGGGAATGCAGACTGGGAGGCTGGGCCTGAAGTCAGTATAGTGCTAGGATTGCATCTCTGGAGCTGGGAGAGTGTCTGGAGTTCGGATAGGGACTGGCACCGTTGCTTAAAAACCTGTGCGGCTGTGGACTAGTGATTGATGGGCAGGAACGTGGACTGGGCGAGGAGAGGTTAAATTAGTCTAGTGCTGGGTTTGTGAGTTTTGAATTGGGCTAGGGTTTGTGGGGCTGGAGGAGTAATTGGGCGACTGGGAATGGGAGTGTGAGGTTGGAGCTGGAAAGTCACAGAGATGGAGCCAAGATGAAGATCCTGCAAGATTTGGAGCTGCTGCTGAGAGAGCAGAGCTGGCA